AGTAGGTTCGAACAATTTTTGAAACCCACCACTGATCCACACACACTAGAGTAAAAATGATCATACAGATTCACCCAGGGTGGATACTGACTTGATAACCTACAATATCCTTAAAGGCAATGCAGCAGACAGCTTGTCCAAGGCTCTGTTCAGATGCCAGGTATGAAGAATGGCAAATGAGCACTCAGAGTTCAGTTGTACTTAAAAAATCCATATGTGCTCAACAAGATGGGTGGCATAATGAATGAGTGAGTGAGTGAATGAATGAATGAATGAATGAATGAATGAATGAATGAATGAATGAATGAATGAATGATCCAGAATGACTATTTTATTGTTTTTCCTGATTAGGACTTCTTGCCCCATTGACCAAAAAGACAGATGGAGATAAGGAAATTAAACTCATCACCAGGAATAAAGAATGGCCACCTAAATCACCATCCTTGCCCCAAGAACATTGTTTGATTAAACCTGGTCAAAACACTGGGCTGTTTTGATTGTGCAAAACCAATGGAAAGCTCCTAAATACATTCACCCCATTGGAAGGTCCATTGAATTCAATGGAATGCAAGCCCAAGAAACATGTTCCTGTACAGATGCAAATCTATATCTGAGCTAGGAACTTGGCTTTTGGACTAAAATTTGGTCAACTTAAATTAGATTTGTTCCTACATTCCGTTACAAACAAAAATAATTGATTCTGACCACTTTACAGAGATGTGTATGATTTTGTACTTTTCCCTTGAAGTCAGCAAATGTTAATTGATTAATTAAAAACTTTGAGAGAGGGTAGAAGGAAGAGGAGCTGTCACGTGTTAAATAGCTGGATGCTGGAAATGCACAAGAATGATTCCTCTTTGATACAGAAAAATGCAGAGATTAGGAAACAGAATGGAGTGGATATAAAGATTATAGCAGAGACCCGAATGGATGATTCATCTCCCACATCATTACTGCAACTGATTACTATAGATCAAGTCTTGGGCATCAGAGGCACTAGAGCTCTTCAAACACTTTCATTGGATGACCATAACCTGTTCCTCTTCCATCCTCTCATTTCACACAGATGTTCCTGAATCTGCCAGGTATTCAAGGAACTCAGATTTGGCACACAAAGTAATGGCACACAAAGTAATTGAAAGAATATTGCACCAGAATGGGCTCTAGAGCTGGGCAAAGAGCCACCTTTGGCCACTGCAGAATGTATATGAAAGGGGGGGGAAATCTATCAGTAGCTTTCAATCCTGTTGCAGCCATGGCCATGCCAAGGTCTGTGTGACTCCAAGCAGAGAGAGAGGGGGAGAGGGAGGGAAGGGAGAGAGAAAGGGGGAGAGAGAGGGAGAAAAGCAGGAGCTGCACTGACTCAGAGGACAGCTAAATATAGTTTGCTGCTTAACTGGAGCTGTCAAGAGCTGGAGGAGGAGATGAGATCACTGGTTTCTATATCTGGAAATCAAGTGAGAGGCAGCCAAGCAGAGCACACCGTGTCTCTGTGCCTCCCCCCACAGTCAGATACTTTGCCCAGGACATGGCCTACCAAATGAAAAGGGGACGAGGAATCAAGGCACGATCACCATCTGGAGCCCTGGAGCCAACCTTCTGTGTGGTTTCTAGCTGGCTTAATCCGGGTCTTCCCACAGGGTAGAGCAACAATGGACCTCTCCAGCCTGCCAGGGTCCCTGACTCACAGCTATCATCCCAATAGCCCCCTTTCCCTCTCTTCTCTGCCCACCCTTTTATGCTAAGGGCGGCCGTGCAGCTGCAGCCTTCGCCCACCTACATCCATTAAGATGGCAACGCCTGCCCAGCTCCTGAGGCAGCATTTGCTCAGAAGGCGCTGGAAGGCAGGGCTTAAGCAACCCACAAAGAGAATGATCAACTTGTGGCAGCCAAAAACACATTTGCCACAAGGAAAAGCCCAGAGGGGAAGACTTATAAAGGCGAGCAAGTTCCAGAAAGACCTTGGCTGGTGCAGAATTTCTTCAGAATCAAGTATTACTTACAGATCAAAGACGAGGTAGTGAAAACCTTCCTCGGATATGCTGTCATGGAGACGAACTGCAAAAGAAGCACAACAGATACATTACACTGGGCAAAGAACTTCCTGAATTTTGCAGTACCTTTTTTTATTATCCTTGCCCTCCTTCTGTCTATTTGATGCACTACATAATCTCACAGATCGCAAGCCCCGGGGAATAGCAACACCGCACCCATTGTAGCCCGTTCACAAAGTTCTAGGATTCAGCTCCAAGAAAGATTTGCAACAAAACAGGTGGCCTGCAGACTCCCATCATCCCCAGAGTCCAAGTATGTTGGCATTTTGCTGTCTCACTGCTTTATCTATGTTTTCTGATTTATGGTGATTGTATTTTATGATTACCATTTGTTGCTTGTATGTACACTGAGAGTTTATGCACTGGAGAAAAACTCCTTGTGTGTGTCTCCTTGTATTGGTCCAATCACACTTGACCAATAAATAAAGAATTCTATTTCTATTATCATCTCCCCCACCTCACCAATCTTGTTGGATTTGGATCTGTAATGCCCTCTGTGATATCTGCACTAGGCTGTTCCCTGCCAATAAACCTATTTGGAGGGAGAAAATTAGGTCATAATTAAGTCTGGATTTTCTGCCCTAGAATCCAGATGTCTGCCTTGTCTAGGATCCCATTTTCAAGAGCACCAAAGAAAATCAAGCAAAATCTGATAAACACAGATCCTGACTCCTATGAAGCCTTCATTCTTACTTTTTTTTCCAATTTCCATTTTATGAAATTCAACGGTGAAAAGAGTAAGGTTCTACATTTAGGCAAGAAAAACGAAATGCACAGGTACGGTATACTTGCTCAACAGTAGTAACTGTGAAAGGGATCTTGGAGTCCTAGTGAACAACCATTTAAATATGAGCCAGCAGCGTGCAGCAGCTGCCAAAAAAGCCAACACTGTTCTAGGCTGCATAAACAGAGGGATAGAATCAAGATCACCTGAAGTGTTAATACCACTTTATAATGCCTTGATAAGGCCACACTTGGAATACTGCATTCAGTTTTGGCCGCCACGATGTAGAAAAGATGTGGAGACTCTGGAAAGAGTGCAGAGAAGAGCAACAAAGATGATTAGGGGACTGGAGGCTAAAACATATGAAGAACGGTTGCAGGTACTAGGTATGTCTAGTTTAATGAAAAGAAGGACTAGGGGAGACATGATAGCAGTGTTCCAATATCTCAGGGGTTGCCACGAAGAAAAGGGAGTCAAACTATTCTCCAAGGCATCTGAGGGTAGAACAAGAAGCAATGGGTGGAAACTAGGAGAGAACCAGCTTAGAACTGAGGAGAAATTTCCTGACAGAACAATTAATCAGTGGAACAGAAGTTGCCGCCAGAAGTTGTGAATGCCCCAATACTGAAAGTCTTGAAGAAGATGTTGGATAGCCATTTATCTGAAATGGTATATAGGGTTGCCTGCCTAGGCAGGGGGTTGGACTAGAACAGTGTTTCTCAACCTTGGCAACTTGAAGATGTACGGACTTCAACTCCCAGAATTCCCCAGCCAGCGAATGCTGGCTGTGGAATTCTGGGAGTTGAAGTCCGGACATCTTCAAGTTGCCAAGGTTGAGAAACACTGGACTAGAAGACCTCCAAGATCCCTACCAACTCTGCTATTGTATTATATTTCTGCTATTGTATTATATTTCATTTTTACCATTGGTTTTTATAAGAGTCTAATATCCTCTATTTTTTTCAAATTGAACCTATGGTGCTCAATACTGCATTATGGGATCTGGTTATATATCCCAACAAAATAGGATAAAAAGGTGTCTTCAGTGATGGTGAAAAGAAAAAAAAATCAATTAATGGGGTCAAAAACCTAACCCACTAAACATGCAGAAGTTTTTCAACTGGCTGTAGTTCAAAATGTCCCAAAGGTGCTTTTTCAAAAGGCAACTTTTGAACTGTCTTAGTTTTTCTTTGAAGACCTTTCGCTTCTCTTCGGTTCTCTTCAGGACTGAGGAAGCTTCTTGGAGGGGAAGCAAAACATTTTCAAGGAAAAACAAAGGAATAGCAATAGCAGTTAGACTTATATACCGCTTCATAGGGCTTTCAGCCCTCTCTAAGCGGTTTACAGAGTCAGCATATTGCCCCCAACGACAATCCGGGTTCTCATTTTACCCACCTCGGAAGGATGGAAGGCTGAGTCAACCTTGAGCCGGTGAGATTTGAACCGCCGAACTGCAGATAACAGTCAGCTGAAGTAGCCTGCAGTACTGCACTCTACCCACTGCGCCACCTCGGAAAAAGCACCTTTGGCACATCGGATGACTGAGAATCTCTGTAGATTCAAAGGACTACCTTAAAGTACTTAGCAACATGGAGTGAAGGGAGGTGGGACTGTGATTTTAACAAACGCATACATATTTTAACAATATAGCAATGAATTTAATCTGCTCCAGCTGTTTTTTTTAATTAATGATTCTCGGCTACATGTTTATTTGAGTACGACAGAAGACTTTAATAGGACAGAAGATAAACGGGTCTCTCGTGGCATGTAATTCTGTTCAGTTCAGTTTCAGTTTATTAAATTTATATGCCGCCCTTTTCCCCCAAAGGGGACTGTTAAGGAGAAAGCAAAACAAATCCATAGAGATTCAACATTTGGGGGCAGGGAGAACATGGTGGGGCAGGGAACATGCTTATAAATACCTCATATCCCAAAAAAGGACTTTCTTGCACCCCATAGAATTAAATCCGACTAAAAATAAAAAAAATGAAACTTGTAATGTGTCGAAGCCTGTTAAAAACAGAACAGAAGAAGGAACAAACTGGCGGATCACCTAGCAAATATGGTGTGAGTCTGGCCTCACAGCTTCATTCAAAGTGGCAAATTTTGCAAATTCTGCTGAAACTTTCCTTATTCATGGAACAGATTCCCTGCAGCATTCCTGGCCGTTCTTTCCTGCCCTACAGGACTGTTGTCCAGATATATTCGGCTGAACAACAGTGACGAACCCCAAACCATTCAGATCGCAAGTGTCCCAAAGGTGCTTTTTCAAAAAGGCAACTAGACTTCCTGGTTTTTCTTTGAAGACGTTTCCTTCCTCATCCAAAAAGCTTCTTCAGCTCTGACTGGGTGGTGGCGAATGGAAGGATTTATACTCCTTGTGGAGAGCTGGTCATTTGCATTCTTTTATCAAGTCATTAAGGCCAGCTGGAGGTTTATCTGTGTCATGGGGTCACCTGAATAGTGCAAATGGCTTTGGAGCCTTTCTTGGAACTGTTGCAAGGACTGTGTTGTAAACTGGAGACAGATGATGTCATATCCCATTGAAGCGAAATGTCTTCAAAGAAAATGAAGAAAGTCTTCTGAAAAAGCTCCTTTGGGGCAACCATGACCTGGATCACTCAGAATCTCCCATATAGACATCCAGTGCGATTCGTAGTTTGGAAGAGCGGGTGGGTTGTTTGAACCCAACTCCCTGCAATCCTAGTGTGAGGTTTTAAGTTCTTCACTGCCCTGACTTACATAACAACATATGAGATCACAAGCAGAAAGAAGAGACTGACTTTTGTTGCAAGAGGGACTTCTTCAATAAGTTGAAGAAACCTTTTTGTTACTACGGTTAGCCCTTGAATTACCAGGCCAAAATTCCTGTTGCTAAGTGAGACATTTGTGAAGTAAGTTTTGCCCCTTATACGACCTTTCTTGCCACAGTTGTTAAGTGAATCGCTGTAGTTGTCAAGTTAGTAACACGGTTGTAAAGTGAATCTGGGTTCCTCGTTGACTTTGCTTGGTAGAAGGTTGCAAAAGGGGATCCCATAACCCCGGGACACTGCAACTGTCATAAATATGAGACCGTTGCTAAGGGACTGAATTTTGAACACACATGACCATGGGGATAAATGTGAAAAATAGTGATTTTTATATAGTCACTTTTTTCCGGTGCTGTTTTAACTTTGGAGAACCACTAAATGGACTGTTTTGAGTCGAGGACTATCTGTAATTGAAATACAATTTTTGAAGGAATACTTTCACATCATGATCATAAACAGCAATCTCTCAAAGCATAGACCTTATCATCCAAGATCTAGGATAAAAGAAACTCCCTCAAACAATCTAACTGAGATCCCTGCATGGTCCAGGGGATTAGAAACAATGGGGATTTCTCTCCACTATTATCACTTTATTTTTTCCAGAAATTCCTTTTGGATCTTAATGTAACCAGTACCTCTTTTCCTCCTAACCCCAGTACTGTTTTTCTAGAAAGAGAATTTGGGTGAATATAAAGTAGTGGTAAATTTATAATATTAGGAGGGGAACCAAATTATATTCCAACCTCAACAGGTATTTCCAGGACTGCCTTACACCTGCTTGGAGAATTACACAGGATGCTATACAACTCTTATATAATCCAAGACTTCCATGAGATCAAAAGGGCTGAAACTAGGAGATAAATATTGTTCCATCACAGCACCAGCATTACAGAATAGGATCCCTTTGGATATTTTTGGAAAGAAGGAAAAACTGAGTTATTCCAGAGATCCTTTAACAATTGAATATCACCTTGCTATTATATGCTAGGTTACACTGGAGCCTGTTGGGTGATAATTTCAGATTGGTTGCCCTTAAGGATATTATTAATTTAATTATAGAGGTAATCTTTTTGTTTTTGTTGTGGACATTAAAATGTAGACTTTTTGCCAAAGTCCATTGGAGATGGGTGGCTAATAAATTCAAATTAATGATCATAATGAAAGAAGTAATAATGAGGGAAGGAGGGAGGAAGGAAGGAAAGAAGGCCCAACTTGGATGAGGCGCCAGTTGCCACATTCCAAGATCAGCTCTGGATGCAGAGGAATGAGCATCCATAGGAAGATTATTTGGCAGTGTTGTCTATAGAGCATGGTCAAAAAAAGACAAGATGGCAGCTGGGTTGTGCGATTAAAGCTCCATCCATTTTGAGTGGGTGTGTCTCTGTCTGTGTGTTGCATGTGGCACCAACAAAAGCCAGAAAGAGCTTCAGTCATACCATCCCAGACATCAACTTGCCTTTTTAAAAAATC